TCTGGGCCTGGCTCTTTTGCTGGCAAGAGACAGGAGCCAGTGTGGGACGGCCCGGGGCGAAGAGGCACTGACAGGTGGTGTCTCGTCAGTGGGGAGGGCGTAACGGGGAGATAAAGGTGAACGTTTTCAGAACGGTGGGGGAGAGGGCTCGGAGGTGGAGCGCCGTGGTTTGTGGGGACCCAGCCTGAGACATGAGTGGTCGATGAAGGCCGGGCTGGGGGAGGCAAGCCACCAGCCCCACCTCCAGCCCCGCCACCGGGGGGCAGCAAAGCTGAGTCTTAATCCGCTGGGGGTGGGCAGTTGCATGGCACAAGCCAGCCCCCTCCTCTACAGAGGGCCGTGTGCATCCGCCCGCCAGGGGACAAGAAGCCGGAAGACCCCTCTGAGCGCCTCTCACGCTCGCCCTATCCTTCCGAGCTGGCACTTCCGAGGCGAGCTGTCAGGGTGACAGAGCAGGCCGGGCTGGCATGCGACCATCACCCACCCGCTCCGCCCGCCAGTTCCCCGGCAACGTGTTGGCAACGTACAACTCAGGCTTCTGCCCAGCACACGGAGCCGGCTTCATCCTGACCCGAAAACACCCCAGCCGGCGTGATGGGGAGGGAGGAGGAGAAGTTGTCGTCGTGTTGCTATGGCAATGGCCCCTGCAACCTTCCTGGCTGAACCTTCAGCTTCATCGCTTCTCTTTTCTGGCATGTTGCCTCATGCTGCGCACCGGGCGCCGTCCGCCTTAAAACACGAACGAGCCAGCAAAGCCCAGGGACAGTCACTGCATGTGCAGGGTCACAGCTTCCCTCCAGCGGTAAAGTATTCGCACTGGGTTATTTTAATAACGAACGCATGGTTTAGTGCCACTACAGATGAAAAGCAGGCAGGGGGTGCCTCTGAGTTGCCATCCAGGTGGGGGCACCTGGCCAGGTTTATACAGAGCCTCTGCAGCAGATCCGACCCCTACACAAAGAAAGGGCTGCCTACGGAGGGTGAGAGCTGTTGGCAGTGTTTTCGGAGGCGGCATGGGCGGGGCAGCTCACAGAGAACCTCCTGTCTAAGGAGGGTACTGTCTCTTTGGCCTGCCCCTCAATGCAGCAGTGACGGTAGGGTGGGATTCATGCGATCACCCAGCCCATAATGGGAGGGAAAGGTCAGAAAAGAGAAGAGAAGGAAAAGGCACCAGAGGAAAAAGAGTCAACGGTGAGACAAAATAGCAACTGGTCCCACTTTTTCATCGGTAGATTTGATCGCCCCTGTTGAAATCAGTCAGTTTTTCCATTGATTTCAATGGGAGCCCTTTAGGATCCATCTTAAAAAGTTGCTTTTCTACCTTAAATGCCTCATGGACTGAACTGTTTGTGGGGCCCCTTATCTGTTGGCCTTTGGTATCAAAATACGGAGTCCTTCCTTTTTAAAAAACATTGTAGTTAAACACTTTTCTGTATTAGCCCTTAGTGCTGTGGAAATGTTTGATTTGTTTTCATAAGAATCTAATTTACATAAATCTGTTTTAAAAAATCACTGTTCGCTAAGAGGTCCTGATCAAGTGATCCATATATCTGTCTATCCATCTAGCGCTCATGCGGGCATCTGTCTGTCTAGCAAGGCATCTATCTATTCATCTATCATTCATGAAGCTATCTGTTAATTTATCAGTCATCTAGACAACTGTCTATCCGTCTCTCCGTCAGGAAGATACCTGTCTATCAATCACGTAGACAGCTGTCTATCCCTCTATCACTCACATAGGCATTTTTTATATCAACTATCGTCTACGCATAGATGATACCACACTTTTCCTTGTGGTGCTGTACTACCTCAGTGACTACTCCCAGTGTGACTATTAACTAACTCTCTGGCAGTGATTGTCTATGTTCGGGATTCAGTGCTCAGCTGACGTCAATTCTTTTCCCTTTCCTGTTTCCCTGCAGTTGCTCCCAAAGGTCCAAAAATCATGATGACCCCAACGAGAGCCCGAGTTGGAGACACGGTTCGGATCTTGGTGCAGGGCTTTCAGGTGTGCAGGCTTTTTATCCTCTTAGCAGGCGAGGGCCTGGTTTCTGTTGTACTGGTAGGTGATGATACATCTTCTCATGAGCAGATTTATGAAGCCTGGCAAAGGAGCAGATGGTGGAGGATGGGGCGGGGGGGTTGCCAGGTGAATTGGTTGAGTTTAGTTTGGGGTTTGATTTTTTTTTTTCATCCATCAGCCCCACAACCCAGCTGCTAACTTTGGTTGCAGGTTTTGCAATTGCACATGCAAAGCAGGGAATTGCGCATGCAGATGGATGATGACAGCAGATGGCTTGCAAAGTTCCTTGAGTTGCATGTGCATTAGTGCTACCACTGCACATAAATAAGGCGTGCAGTTCCTCATGGGTTTTGCACGCTCAATTACACACTCCACTCTTGAAATTGGCTCTTTTGTCTCTCAGTTAGAAATTGATTTGTTGTCACTTGTAGTTTTCTCTAATAGAAATCACTTGACAAAACAAATGCCCACACATCTCTATACCTTTGGCTTGGAGTCATCATTCTGTAAATGAATGATGCAGTAATTATGAACCTAGCTTGTGAATTAATGGCACAGAGTTGGGTGAGCTTTCTTTAGACTAAATAAGTGGATTTTACATCTATGGTATAACTTAACTGGGAAACAAGATGTGTCTTTAACTCATCTTCGCTAACACAAGGCAAAGTCCTAGTGAAGAGAAAGCAGTTTGTGGTTCTAACACATGTGGGCAGGTCAAGGTAACGACAATGGGGGACTGTAGGGTTTACCTTGAGCTGCTAACACCTACAAAAACTACAGCCTGCCTTGTCTTTGCTAGGATTTTAGCATGTTAGTTACCATACAAACACATATTTTTTCCTGGAGTTAAGCTTTCGTATCGTGTTATTATGGGACAGATTCTCCATGGGCTGACCCCCATGCAGCCCTTCTCATTTGCGCGAAGGAGTTGCAACGTGCGCCACCGATCCTCTCCCGGGTGGCAGCATTTCAAACCCACTCCTCACATATTGCACAGACCGACGGTGCAAAGCACTGAAGAACCAGACGCTGCCTGTGCATTCCGCCGGCTGCCTGTTCGTTTTTAATCTCATTCCTTTAAATGTCAATGACTTGTGGAGGATGTGAGATCTGTTTCCTGCCACTGTATCTGCACCTCTACGTGGTGCTTTTTTACAAGGCTAGCACGGCTAAGCAAGTGAAAATTGAACAGTGCCGATTCATTTAATCAGTACAGTGACCATGCCATAGTTAGAGCCTTTAAGGGTTCATCTACACTGCAATAAACCCCCCGCCACACAGCCATGGCTCATCCAGGCCAGTGATTTGGGTGTAGAAGACAGCAACTATAGGACTAAAAATCGCAGTGTAGATAGGTGAGCTCAGACCTGGAACCTGAGCTCTGAAACTCTGCGAATGGGGCTGGTCTCCAAGCCTGAACTCCAGCCTAGATGTCTACACTTCAGTTTTTAGCGTTCTCCCCTCTCCCAAAGGCTCAGAGACTCAGTACTGCAGGATGTTCTTATGGCCGCATAGACACACCCCGCGTGCTGAGCGCTAACATTTCAATGGTGACATGGGGCAATCCATGCGGTCACCCGGAGGGGCTGTAAAGTTCTCTGGGATCTTTGAGGTCGGAGTGTTAATGGTTCCCAAACGTTCCTGGTCCACACACCTTCTTCTTCAGAAACTGCAGTGCGGTGAATGGCTGGACTTTCAAGCTGAGAGATCTTCTTTGGGAACCCTGGGGCTAGAAGATCTAACGGTCCCGTCTGTCCTTATCTGACTCTGTAGCTCTTTAGGAGGAGGAAAACTCCAGGGCTGTGTCTAGACTGGCCAGTTTTTCTGGAAAATCAGCCACTTTTCCAGAAAAACTTGCCAGCCTGGCCGCTTGAATTTCCGCAAAAGCACTAACTTCCTACCGTAAGAAATCAGTGCTTTTTGCGGAAATACTATGCTGCTCCCGTTCGGGAAAAAGTCCTTTTGTGCAAAACTTTTGCACAAAAGTGCCAGTGTAGACAGCTCAGATTTGTTTTGTGCAAAAAAGCCTCGATGGCGAAAATGGCGATCGGGGCTTTTTGCAAAAGCGCGTCTAGATTGGCATGGACGCTTTTCCGCAAAAGCGCTTTTTCCGCAAAAGCGTCCGTGCCAATCTAGATGCTCTTTTCTGAAAATGCTTTTAACGGAAAACTTTTCCGTTAAAAGCATTTCCGGAAAATCATGCCAGTCTAGACACAGCCCAGTGGTTAGCTTTGTGTCGGTATCAGGGTGCTTAGCAGGGACGGCAGTAATGACGAAGACGCCACATTATTAAAATAACCCCTATGTTTAAAGCTGGTTTCCCCATTTTGGCTGCAGAATGAAGTCTTCCCCGAGCCCTTGTTCACCTGGACCCGTGTTGGGAGCCGGCTCCTGGATGGCAGCGCTGAGCATGATGGGAAGGAGTTGATCCTAGAAAGAGTACCAGCTGAGTTAAACGGTTCCATGTACCGCTGCACTGCCCAGAACCCACTGGGCTCCACCGACACCCACACTAGGCTTATCGTGTTCGGTACGGTATATACCCCTGGGAAGAGCCCTCCCCCGGGCCACGCCAGCCCCACCACCCCGGACCAAACCGAAACCGGCTTTGCCTTTGGCCTGTCCACGCTGCTTTGTCATTTGCGGTTTGCGACTCCTCGTGTGACTGGCATTCTGATTGAAGGAGCGTTTGCCAGTGGCCCGTTCCAGGCCCCGAGCTGAGACTCATCATTAATATTATTTATTTTACAGCTCAAATAACTAGCCCGGGGTCTCTGTCCTGAAAAATTTATGCTCCTGAAGTGACATGGGTGGGAGTTGTTTATAGTGCACGTGGGACAATAACTGATGATTTTGGTTCTCTGCCAGTTCTGGGGGAAAGAAAAATCATTTTGAAACAGCTGAAAACATATTTTATTGAAATGTGTGCAGCAGGGCTGTTTTTTTCACACGTCGGGGTGCTAAGAGAATATGTATAGAGACGCCCTGGATTGTTCTTTGCTAACCCTACTCCTCCTAGCAATACGGGCCTCTCCTTTGTGATCCTTGTTTCACCAGAGGGTCACAGACATTGAAAATGGACGAGACTTATTTCTGGTGAGGCAGTCTGTCCCCTTGTCAATGCAGGCTCTTTACACGGGCTTTGGCAGCCAAAACGAGGAGGACGGAGCGTTCCCCACCTTCTTTTGGGAGACTCTTCCACAGTCGCATGGTCTCACCCCTAAGAAGCCAACCTTGTTTGCTTTCTTAAAATGTCCACCCCTTTACTTTGCACCTCCCAGTAGCCGGCCAATGGGAGCTGCTGTGCTCTTGCGTGCAGGCGGCTCATGGTCTACCCCTCCCCTCTTGGCATGCCACACAGAGACGCACATGCTGGCCCCAGCAGCCGGCTGCCCCAAGCAGTGTGTGGGGCTGTGGCAGGCAGGGTGCCAGCCCAAGGTGCCTGCTGGGCTGCTGCCAGAAGCCTCCTAGGGTAAGCGCCACCTGGCCAAAGCCTGCACCTGACACCCAATCCCCTTCTGCACCCCAACTCCCTGACCCAAGTCACAACCCGAACCCCCCCAACCCCAACTCCCCGACCCAGGTCACAACCCAAACCCCATCCCCTCCCGCACCCCAACTCCCCGACCCAGGTCACAACCCAAACCCCATCCCCTCCCGCACCCCAACTCCCCGACCCAGGTCACAACCCAAACCCCATCCCCTCCCGCACCCCAACTCCCCGACCCAGGTCACAACCCAAACCCCATCCCCTCCCGCACCCCAACTCCCCGACCCAGGTCACAACCCAAACCCCATCCCCTCCCGCACCCCAACTCCCCGACCCAGGTCACAACCCAAACCCCATCCCCTCCCGCACCCCAACTCCCCGACCCAGGTCACAACCCAAACCCCATCCCCTCCCGCACCCCAACTCCCCGACCCAGGTCACAACCCAAACCCCATCCCCTCCTGCACCCCAACTCCCCGATCCAGATCACAACCCAAATTCCATCCCCTCCCGCAACCCAACTCCCTGACCCAGGTCATAACCCAAACCCTCTGCATCCCCTCCTGAACCCCTGTTGCTGGTCACAACTCCTTCTCAAACCCTGCGCCCCTCCTTTACCCCTCCCTTGGTCAGAATCCCCTCCTTCATCCAAACTCCCTCCCATACCCCATCCCGCCGCATCTCAATCCAAGCTCCTTTCTGCACCCTCCCTCCATCCTAGATCCCACACACACTATTAATATTAGAGAAAAGTGCAGCCCTTGACCACCACATTTTTACAGTGGCTCCCCCATCAAAAATTGTTGCCCACCCCTGAGCCAGAGAGCTGAGAGACTGTT